TATTGGTGATTCTTTAGTGATTTTATTGGTAGTTCTTTAGTGGTTTTTTGGTAGTTTTATTGGTTCTTTTATTGGTAGTTCATTGATAATTCTTTAGTTCTTTCATTAGTGATTTATTGGTAGTTTGTTGGTGGTTTATTAGTACTTTTGTTAGTAGTAGTTTTTTAGTTTTTTGGTAATTTTTTGATCCTTTTGTTAGTAGTTCTTTGGTTCTTCGTTGGTGATTTTTTAGTACTTTTATTAGTAGTTCTTTGCTTTTTGGATTCTTTACTTAGGTTATTTTTTTCTTAAGTTTTTTACTTCTTTGATTATTTTTTTCTTGGGTTCTTTACTTATTTGGTTATTTTTTCTTAGATTCTTTACTTTTTTAGTATTTTCATTTGTTTCTTTTGTTCTTAGATTTTTTGCTTCTTTTATTCTTGGGTTCTTTGCTTCTTGGGTTCTTAAGTTTTTTGTTTTTTTACTTTTTTCATTTTTTTGTTTCTTTCGTTCTTGAGTTTTTTGCTTCTTTGATACTTTTTCATTTTTTTTTTCTTTTTCATTCTTGTTTATTTTTTAAAAAATAAAATAAAATAATAAAGAATAAAGTGAAAATAAAGAAAATAAAAATAAAAAATAATTAAAATAAAGATTTCACTAGATCTTGGCAATATGGTTTATTTTTATATTACATCACAATTATTGTTTATTATTTTTTAAATTGGATGATTAACAGTTTCACAACAAGTCTGAAAAGGTAGCATGACTTTTTTTATTAGTAAGGGAACTGGCATAATATATTATAAAGGATTAATAATAATTATAATGATAAATAATTAATTAAGTATAGTGTGATAGTATTCTTAAGTATCTTCATCAAATAACTTCTTTACTTATCCTTAAGAAATGTTGTCAAACTTCAACACTGAGTAGTATTTAAGGTAACTTTATAATATTCATCTTTGATAACTTTGTTAACATATTCAAAACTTCACATCATTTAATATCAGAAGCTGAAAAAGCATTTGATATATTTATTGATTCATCAAATAAATATTTTGATTTAATTGAAGATATTACAGATAAAGATATTAGAAAAACATTAATCAAGTAGTATAATAATGTATTTATTAGAGAGATTGATACTGTACAAGCTATAAATAATTATTATAATAAACCTGCATTCAGTAATGTTACTATAAATATGAAGGAAAAAGAAGCAAAAGATTATAATACAATTAATAATGTATGCTTTGCTAAGGTAAATTTTATTATTTATTATTATTATAATTGATTATATATTATAATAACTAATTTTAAATTCAATAAATCAAAAGCTTTTAATGCTATTCAGTTTAATAATACCTGGTTATGAAATATAGGAATTGGCAATAGTTCATTAGTATGACTTTAAATATAGTAATCCAAATAAATTACTCAAATATGATTATCCACTTGTAAAAGCTATTCCAATGTTTATAATTATATTAGTTGATTCTATTGTTAAATCAATTCATGTTATCTCATATTTTAAAAAAATTAATGAGTATTTTATAAATATATTTATTTTTTAAAAATGAAAATTACAAATTCATATATTGTATAATTAAATATTAAACAAGTAGCTAAACATTACCAATTTAATCAATGTATTGTTTTACAAATAAAACAAAATGTTAAACGAAGTTAAATTGATTAACTTATAATTTAATATTATTATAATATTGATTATTATTATATTTATCATATTAAATTTATAGCTTTTATCAGCATATTAAACTACAAACTTTTAATTTCTGATATATTTTGCTTCACTTACATATGGTGAAAAAACAGATTTACTTGAATGTTAAAAAATTAATAAAAGTTAATATTCAAATTTATCCAAATAGCAAGAGATTATTTATTAATACCTGCTACTAGTATTCTATTTGAATAAAGTTTTTCAATATGTAAAAATTTAATTACAGATTAAAAAAATCATTTATTAGGAAAAACAGTAAAATTTTATATATGTTTAAAATTATGGTAGATTGGTTTTTTAAATGAATTAAATAATTAAGTAGCAATTAAAAGTTTTTTTTAAAAAAAATTTATTTTTATTTTCTTTATTTTTATTTTATTTATTTATGTATTTATTTATTTATTTTTATATTTATAATAATAAAATTTATGAAATAAAATTTAATTATTATATATTGTATAAAATTTTATTAAATTGGATTAAATTTTCTTAAAGTTAAAAAATAAGAATTTAAAATTTTTTAGAGCTAATAGGACTTTTCAGAACTTTTTTAAAGCTGAAAAGGTTCCTTTTATTATAAAAGAATGATTTTTCAAAATTTTTTTAAAGCTGAAAGGTTCTTTTCATTAAAAGGAAACATTTTTAGATCTCTTAAAACTAAAAATTTGTTTTCTTTCATTACAGCTATTTTCATATTTTTTATAACAAAACAAATTTTAAACCTGATACCTAAATCTGATAAGTAGATATCAGATCACGTGATATAAACATTTTATTTACAGAATTTAGAAATTGTAATACATGCATATACAATTGCTATTAGAATAATAATGTCTGATATTTTATTATCAGTTTAGTTTAATTAATTAATTTATTTTTAATACAAAATCTAGAAATACATAAATATATAATAACCTGATGTTCACATATTAGATTGTGTATTAGATTCAAAATTTGTTGTTCTAAAAAATATGAAAACAGCTGTAAAAAGAAATGACTTTTCATACCTTTTTTAGAGCTGAAAAGTTTTTTTTTCATTAAAAAGAAATAACTTTTCAGAACTCTTTTAGAGCAAAAAGATTTCTTTTATTGAAAAGAATGACTTTTTAAATCTTTTTTAGAGCTGAAAAGGTTCCTTTCATTGAAAAAAAATAATTTTTCAGAACTATTTTAAAGCTGAAAAAGATCCATTTTTTTTGAAAGAAAACATTTTTGGATCTCTTAGAACCCAAAATTTTATTTCTTTTCATCAAAAAAAAATGAGTTTTCAGATTTTTTTTAAAGTAAAAAGGTTTCTTTTATTGAAAAGAAACGACTTTTTAAATTCTTTTAGAGCCAAAAAGATTCCTTTCATTAAAAAAAAATATTTATAGATCTCTTTTATAACAAAAAATTTGTTTATTTTCATTAAAAAAGAATGACTTTCAGACTTTTTTTGGAGCTGAAAAAGTTCCTTTCATTGAAAAAACATTTCAGATCTCTTTTAGAACTAAAAAATCATTTTTCAATAAAAATTTCAGTTTTAGATCAGAACAGATTTGGATTTAACCAATCTATCAGATCTATATTTAAGATTTAATCTGTCAGATTCAGATCAAATCTAAATTTTAACAGATCTATCAGATTTAAATCTAATTTAGATCCTGAAAAATGAAAATCAAATCTGATCAGATTTTATCTAAATCTGATCTGATCTAATTTTACAAATACTACTTTTATTGTAATAATGCTTATTATATAAGCTAAAAAGAAATAAATGAAATACTTTCAAGTTTTATATCACAAACTATAACTAAGCATTTATTAAGCATTTATTAATTACTCTAAAAGCATTTTTTTCAAATACTTATCAAATAGGTTCCAATGGATCTTATATTTAATAAGTATTAGCATTCTGTTACAATTATCCAATATCATTTATTATTTTAGCATTATAATATAGTATAATTTTGATGCTTTTATAAAGTATTTATAATACATTATTAATAACATTATTTTATAATATATATTTAATTAAAAGCTTTTATTATACATAGATTAAATTATACAATAATTAAGATTGTGATTTTTTTTGCAACTAAAGCATCTCACAACTGAATCTTGATTGGATAAGTTAATTATAATTGTATCTTTAGTTTTAATTATTAATTTGTAAAATATTTAAAGAATGGTTAATTCATGTACCTTTTAAAGAAAAAAATTAAATTTAATTAATAAAAAGAATAATTTTTAAAAAGTATAAATAATTATATTCATTTTGATTAAAAATGAATTCTTCTATTATATTATAAAAATATCAAATATCAAAATTAATACTTACAAATAAATATGAAAATAAATATTACAAAAAGTAAAATATAAAAATACTTACGATTTCCTTATTTACAATATCTAGCGATCTAAAACTTGCACTTTTTCGAGAAAGTAGTTCATTTGTTCTACAACTTCACTTAGAATCATATTAATTCCTTTTGATAGATTAAGATAGTTTAAGATGACAGCCATTCCAAATGAAATAGAGTTTTTTTCTGTATTTGGGTTAGTAAAAACACAGTCAATTATTAGGTTGAAGTAAGTGTAATATAGATTATCATTAGTATTAACGGGTTTGTTTAATTTCATATAATATTCATGTATGATGCTAGCGTCTTTGAACTTCTGTTCTTTATCATGTGTAACCTGTCAATTTTCTATTTTGGGTTTCACAAGATCTAAAATTCTGCATGAATAGCATCTTTAACGTATTGTATGATGTTACTTCATGCTTAACGTGAGAATTGTTAGGCCTATCAAAAAAGTGAGTGAGATTAAATAACTCATTATGAATAATCATTAAAATTTACTTACTAATGAATAAACATGTTTATTGAAGAAATGTTTCTATCTACTATGTTTTATTTACTTTGAAATTCTTCCTTTCTTGCATCTAATAACGCATCATAACATACTTGCATAAGATGTTCATCACTTGGGTATTTAACTTTCTCAGATACACCATAAATTGCTTAACCAATAACATCTTATCATAAAATATTATAGATAAGTTAGTGTTTTAATATATAAATTAAAATAATAATATTTAATAATACTCATCTCAATTTATTTAGTATCATTTTTTGTATGATTACTGAAACCAATGGCTTTCCAATTTGCATACATTTTATCAATCTTTTTCTGCATATCTTGAATCATTGTAACTATTTAAAGCTATACATCTTGTATATTTTTAATTGTTGAAGCAAATCCTAAAAAAAATATGAATAAACAATAATATAATATTATTATCACTAGAAAACAACAAATATTTAACAAACTTACGAATCCTCTTTTGTATGTTTGTATCTATGTTTTCTATATTTATAAACTTTCATTTAGAATTAGAATAGGCCATTTCATTTCCTAAAGTAAAATCATTGATAAAATTCTTATCATCACTTGAAAGATAATCTCCTTGATTGGATAAAGTATCATTATCATCAAATATATCTAAATGGGTCTCTGTAACTACATTTTTACCAATAAAAGAACCAATAAAACTACCAAAAAACCACTAAAGAACTACCAATAAAATCACTAAAGAATCACCAATA